ATCTTTATTGGAAAGCTGTGTATTTAAGATTGCAGCGCCACCAACGCCGTCGCCGCCACCACTGTCACCATGTGGTGGTGCTGGATGGTCAGGTGGAGCTGCTACTTTGTCTTCACCATTATATGTTAATTGCTCCTATAATATTAAGTAAACTCCTGTATTAATGAATCTATTGTATAACTAAATTATTTGCAAACTTACACTCTTCCCTAAGGTTTCTCTCACCATACCCTGCTGCGCTTGCTGACTTTGTGTCTGCTGTTCCTGTATAAATAATTGTGAGCCAGTCGTAAAGGTATATCTATTGCCAATCATTACATGACTGCATATGTATAAAATCACAGCAATATTTATTAATATACTGCATCTTAGCAGCCAATTGCGTCGTGTAAACATTTTCTGTCCCAATGGTTCGAAACGCATTTTAAATGCGTTTTCTTTTGTGTCTGGTGTATTCAATTTAGTGTAAGGAATCTTGAAGCTGTTTATTTAAATATTTAGCTTTGAGAAAATATTGCGATTCTGTTCGTTTTTGTTTTGAATTTAAGTTCAAAACCTGGTAAAGGAAGAAACTGCAATGATAAGAATGAGAAAAAATATATTTTAAAACGTAAATTTATTAATTAAAAAAAAGTAGTTTCTATGACAAGCTTAATGTGTTTCAATTTCTTTTCGAGTTCAATTAAATTTGATTTATGTAGAGTTTTCAAAGTTTTTGACACGATATTAAAAACCTGATATGATAGATTTCGACTTCTTTCAAATTTAGATGAAACGTATTTTCTTTCTTCCCTTCAAATGTACACATTTCGAAATAGATTGTAGAATAGATTTCCAATACCTTTTTTTCTTTTTATTTCAGTCTACGTGCAATAAAGTTAGGATCATGGTTAGGATGAAGTTTCTTTCAAGGCACTATACACTTTAAATGTTCATTTTAAAATGTTAAATATATCTTTTTAGCTTCTCTCTGTTTTTTGACTTATTTTATTTCATACACAAAAAAAAAATCATAACTTATAACACTCCATTACTACGAATAACTTAAAAAGGTCCAGACCTTTTCGAGAAAAAAAAAATTCTAATTAATAATACTCCTACTTCTTACTAAAGAAATTCATAATTCCCGCCTGTTTAGTTTTGGCTGCCGAATTAGTGGCCGCCTTAGTTTCCTTAGTAGTACTAGGCTTTTTGCTATCCTTGGGTGACGACTTCAAGGTTACCGGTGGTGTTTTCTTAGTGGCTGGTGATTTGTTAGCAGCTCCCGAGGCTTTCTGTTTGGGCTTTTTGGTAATAACGAAACCGTCTTCATCTAGATAAGTTTCTGCTACCGGTTCCTCTGCTTCTTCTTCCTTTGTTTCCTTCTTAATATCCAACTTTTCTTGTTTAACAGGAGGATCTTCTTCCTCATCATCTGAATCTAAAATACGTCTTCTCTTGCTGGAAGTTGTAGGTTTAGTATCATTTTCATCTTCTGCTTCCATTTCTACATCGGAAGAAATAATATCTCGTTTTAATGCTTCCAATTTCTCCTCCTCATCTGATGAGATTTCTTCAGGTTCTTCTTCATCCTCATCATCGAATAGTTGTACGGAGGTATTGACTGCTGGTGTTTTCTTTATTGATTCTGTGCTGGTTTTAGGTTTTTCTGTTTGTTTTTTAAAGAAATCTTCCATTTTTTTGGGTGTAGGTGGCTTAACAACACCACTGCTGGCTTTGGAGTCTTTGACATCTTCCGTTTTCTTGTTGGCTGCTGTAGCAGTAGGAGCAAAGAAATTGTTTATACCTTTTTTGTTGGTAGATTTTTTGTCGGCTGCTTTTTTATCTGTAGGGGAGGTCTCAGTTTTAGGTGAAGTTTTCTTGGCTTCTACTTTTGTTGTAGCTTTTGCACTGCTCTTGGGAGATGCTTTTAAAGCTTTGCTGCTAGTAGCTTCCTGTTTGACTTCTTTTTTCTCTATAGGTTTAGTGGTTTTTGAGGTTTCTACTGCGCCATTAGTTATGGAGGCTTTGGAACCCTGTCTATCTTTTAATTTGGCTCCCTCTTGTACACTCATGGGTTTAAATACTGGCGCTGCAGACTTAGCTCCTCCAGCCACCTCCACAGAGTATAGGGAAGACTCGGCATTTTTCAATTTATTTAACCATTCTTTAAGTTTAGTTTCTTCCACTATTTTATAAATTTCCTTTTTCTGTTCACCCTCCACTACACCATGCACTAGAAATCTTTTATCAAATTTAATTTTATCTTTCTTTTCCTGCTGCTCCACATATTTTTCCACTAAATCGTTGACCTCCTCATAGGCCAGTTGATAATCATCCAATAGTTCAGTTATTAAAACACGGCGATCAAAATTTATTAAACAATTAGTTAAATCTTCCTTTAATTTTGTTGAACCCATTGTAGTTTTATTGATTTGTTTGTTATTTTTTTATTTTTTCGCAATTTTTGTGAGGGAATGTTTTCAAGTAGATATTTTTTGCACAATATAAAAAAAGCGGTGAATTTGTTGTTTTAAACACGTGGAATGAAATGGAATTGAAATGTGACGAAGAAAACACAGCTGTAGCCAGCGAGTTGTGTTAAAGTGGAGGTACAAGCAAACAGAGTTGTGTTTTCAAGTGTCAGGTATATAAACAAGAGGAAAGTAACAGTTTTTAGGTTTATTTGAGTCTTGGTTGGTGTTTTTTTTTATAAAAAAAAACTTTATTTAAATAGAAAAATATAATATTATAATGTAGCTGTAATATTAAACAAATTTGAATAATTTAAATGAGTTTTTTTTTCAATTGTTTACATATTTGTTTATTTTCTGCTAATAATTCCAAATATTTGTAATTTTATAATAATTTTTCTTGTTTAAAGTTAATTTAAATTAATTTAATTGTTATTTTCCAAATAATGCGTCAAACATTTAATTTTATGAAAAACTTTTAAAATAGATTACGTACTTTAAACGAATATGTTTATGACTAAAACACTAATTAAATTTGTTTTCAACTGTCATTTGTTTTTGTTTAATTCTTTAATTTAAATTAATTATTATATGACTTACCTCATAGTCAAACGTATACAATTAATTTTAATCCTCTTAAAAATTATAATTTTAAATGAAATTTGCCTTTACAATTAATGCAGTTTTAAACAGAGTTTTAAAAGAACGAAAACATAAATTTAAGGAAAATTTTATAAAAAAAAGTATTCATTTGATAAAAAAAATTATCGAAATTTTAGAGATTCACTTCACAAATCAAATTTAAAATCTATCTGAATATAACCTCAAAATTGTAAATTTCAATGAAATTAAACATAACCTCAAAATTTCAGATTTCAATAAAGTCGAGTTTAACCTTTTAATAGTCTAACCTCAGATCTCATTAACATAATTAAGAATTTTAATTCCTTATTCGAAATTCTAGACTTTTTCATTAGAACTATGAATCCTGTCTTTTACATTAGCCTAAATGTAATACATTTCCTTTTACAAACCCAACATATTATTGGCCACACAACAAAAAGTGCATTAACCACAAATCATGATTCATAATGTACATTTACCTCGGTATTTTAGCTCTTTTACAAAAAAAAAACTATATATTGAAAAACCCCAAAACATTTTATGTACAAAAATTATCATTGTTGTAAATTTTTAATAATGAAAGAATATATTGTATTTGTTTCTAAATATTTTCATTGTTAGTTTTGTGACACATAACAGTAGGGGGAGGGAGTATTATGCACCCTTTTCCCCCCAAAAAATATTTTTTCATTATTTTTGTGTATTTTATTAAAGTGTCTGAAAGCCGCATGTCAGAATAACGAGAAAAAATATCAACATTATCATCCTCACAAAAAACCAATTCACTAAATGTAGGTACAAAATTTTCTCTTATTTTTTTTTTATAAATGGTCGAAGAACAGTGGAGCCGAAAAGATATAGTTCAAACTATAGAGAAGCTATAGTCGAGACCATACTCTATAGTCCAGACAATAGAGAATCTATAATCCAGATTATAGAGAAGTACACACTAAATTATTATAGAGGAGCTATAATACACACACAGCGAAACTTTAGACTAGCGGGAAGCTATAGTCCAGACTATAGATAATTTAAACTATTTAGATTTTATACAGAAAAGTCCTTCCTACAAAAGATTTTCTATAGAACAGTCTTTCCTACAAAAGATTTTCTATAGAACAGTCTTTCCTACAAAAGATTTTCTATAGAAAAGTCTTTCCTACAAAAGATTTTATACAGAAAAGTTTTTCCTACAAAAGATTTTCTATAGAAGAGTCTTTCCTACAAAAGATTTTCTACAGAAGAGTCTTTCCTACAAAAGATTTTCTATAGAAAAGTCTTTCCTACAAAAGATTTTCTATAGAAAAGTCTTCCCTACAAAAGATTTTCTATAGAAAAGTCTTTTCTACAAAAGATTTTTTATAGAAAAGTCTTTCCTACAAAAGATTTTCTATAGAAAAGTCTTTCCTACAAAAGATTTTCTATAGAAAAGTCTTTCCTACAAAAGATTTTCTATAGAAAAGTCTTTCCTACAAAAGATTTTCTATAGAAAAGTCTTTCCTACAAAACATTTTCTATAGAAAAGTATTTCCTACAAAAGATTTTCTATAGAGAAGTCTTTCCTACAAAAGATTTTCTATAGAAAACTTTTTCATACAATATATTTACTATATTATATCTATCTATCTATCTATCTATCTATCTATCTATCTATCTATCTATCTATCTATCTATCTATCTATCTATCTATCTATCTATCTATCTATCTATCTATCTATCTATCTATCTATCTATTTATCTATCTATCTATCTATCTATCTATCTATCTATCTATCTATCTATCTATCTATCTATCTATCTATCTATCTATCTATCTATCTATCTATCTATCTATCTATCTATCTATCTATCTATCTATCTATCTATCTATCTATCTATCTATCTATCTATCTATCTATCTATCTATCTATCTATCTATCTATCTATCTATCTATCTATCTATCTATCTATCTATCTATCTATCTATCTATCTATCTATTCTATCTATCTATCTATCTATCTATCTATCTATCTATTCTATCTATCTATCTATCTATCTACTCTATCTATCTATCTATCTATCTATCTATCTATCTATCTATCTATCTATCTATCTATCTATCTATCTATCTATCTATCTATCTATCTATCTATCTATCTATCTATCTATCTATCTATCTATCTATCTATCTATCTTTCTATCTATATATCTATCTAATCTAAATCTAATTTTTCACTTTTCACTTTTTTAGTAAAAATCTAATTTTTCACCCAAAATCTAATTTTTCACCCAAAATCTAATTTTTTACTAAAAATCTAATTTTTTACTAAAAATCTAATTTTTCACTACAAAATCTAATTTGTCCAAAAAAAAAAAACAAATTTTTCACTAAAAAATCTAATTTTCGCTAAATAACCCAATTTTACACTAAAAAATCAAAATTTTAACAAAAATTCCACTTTTTTATGTGTTTTGCTGTACTGTCATCATATTTGTTCGAATAAAACTGTTAAATATTTTCATTTAAATATTGTAATGCGAATGAGGTTTTTTTTCATTTCATTTCATTTTTGTATTTCGGTAACCGCAAAATAAATTTAAGGTTTGCCGGAAAAAATGGCAAAAAAAAAAAAACGAAATGAATAACCGAAAAATAAAATAAATATTCTTATGACACATGCAAATGAAGGCAGAGGGGTAGTAGTTGAAAGGGTGTGGGGTTTTAGTGACAAAAGGAGAAGAAAGCAAAAACGGAAATATTTTATGAAAAAACTCCAAAATATTGTGATTAATTGAATGTTTTGCTGATTATTAACTCCCGCCCCTTTTCTTAACTACGCCTTTAAAGATTTATCATAACTTTCCGCAGTTCTCAATTTACAATATTAATTTATGCAAAAAAAAAAAAATATATTAAATATTTAATGATGAGGAATGTATCATCAAGTAATGTAAACATTTGATGGCTTTACCAAACGTATGTTAATATGTATAATGTAAACGGAAATAAAATGTAAGGAAGAAGATACATGCGTAAAAAGAATATTTAACTTACAAATAAGGAAACAGAACAAATCTTTAGCGGAAAAAGGAAACATTAAGAAAATGTGGTGAAAAGGAATAAAAAGAAAAAAAGTACAAACAAAATTGCAAAAACTTTAAATTCTTAAAAAAATAAATAATTATTAATATAATTTCTTATGTATTACAGACATACAATTCACACCTTTTGCCAAAAATATCTTTTTTGTGTAACTACTTTTTTTTGCCAAAAATTTGATGTTCTACTTGTTTGTAAACTTTTTTGCTTCAGTATTTACATTAACAATTTTGGCAAATTACCTCAGGGTTTTTAATATTTTTTTCAGACTGATTTATTATATATCACATCACAAAATATTAAGGTTAATTTCGGGCACATGTAATAATTTTTTTTTGCACTTCTTTCATTCACTAAAGTACAAGTACGTTTACTTTGCTTTAGGCAATCTGCCTTTTCTTCATTATTTTTTGTTTTTTTTTTTGTTTTTGTTTAAAATGTTTTTTTTTCTATTCAAAAAGTATAAAAGTGTAGGAAAAACAAAAAAATATTTGTATTTTTGTTTCGACAACGTGTTCAAATTATTTATATTCTGTTATTGTACTTTATTATTTCAAGTATTTACCCCCACTTCACTTAAAAGAGTGAAGAATAGATTTTTTTAAACAACAACAACAAGGAAAATAATTGGGTTTTTTTGGGGAATAGATATTAAGGTGAAATAAATTGAAAATTTTTTAATTTAATGATAAAAAATAAAAGAGAAGAACTGACGAAATATAGATTTTTTTTAGAACCCTAACCCAGATTCTAGAGAACTTCTTTGGAATACTTAATTAATTTTTTATCTTTTTATTCTATAACTAGATTAAAGCACGAACTATAAATTCCATAAAAATATAAACTACAAACTAGACTATAGACTAGACTATAGACTAGACTATAGACTAGACTATAGACTAGACTATAGACTAGACTATAGACTAGACTATAGACTAGACTATAGACTAGACTATAGACTAGACTATAGACTAGACTAGACTAGACTATAGACTAGACTATAGACTATAGACTAGACTATAGACTAGACTAGACTATAGACTAGACTAGACTATAGACTAGACTATAGACTAGACTATAGACTAGACTATAGACTAGACTATAGACTAGACTATAGACTAGACTATAGACTAGACTATACTAGACTAGACTAGACTATAGACTAGACTATAGACTAGACATATACTAGACCAGACTATAGACTAGACTAGACTAGACTATAGACTAGACTAGACTAGACTATAGACTAGACTAGACTATAGACTAGACTATGGACAAGACTATAGACTAGACTAGACTATAGACTAGACTATAGACTAGACTATAGACTAGACTATAGTCTA